CGGGCCATAGTTTGCCCACGGCTGATCTAAAATATCCCATTTGGTCTCTAGTGCTCCCCAAAAGAAAAAGAATAGAAAATTCTTCACAAATCCAGCAAATAAAGACTATTCTAATAGCAGGGCCCTAGCTAAAATGTCTTCACAAAAGTGGACGGCACCACAAACTGCACTCTCCCGGCACTGCCCCGGACTTCCCCGCCTGGTGATTTAGGGACTTTTCTACTTAGGAGGAGGGTGCTGTTTTTGCCGAGTTCAGCATGTTCATTGAGTCATTTCTTGGAGCCAAAAGCCAGCTCCACTGCATTTCTGCTGGGTAAGGTCCGATGGCCTTGGCGTGGGGCAGTGGTTGTTGATTCATCGGCCTTTCAACTGATGATAAATCCAGAAGCCCGGCAGCAGTACTAGGTAGGCTCCCTTAACAGACCTTGGGCAGGGAATCGGCGGCGACACTTACGGAAACCTGTGGAATGACGCTCATAAACTCCTGTTCGGGGAGGCTCAGGAGAGTGGGGGCAGAGGGAGCTCTGGGATCCCAGGAAGGAGGCAGCAGCAAGGGCTTAGACCACCACATGTAGAACTGGTCGACCCAAAGCCCAAAAAAGCGCCTCTGCTCCTTGAGACGCCCGTTTCCTGTTTACGTTTAAATTCTGGGTGGCTGGTGTCTTGTATCATGAGCATCTGAGATGGTTTAGCTCCTCGGCGTATCGCCTGGAACCCATCTGCCGGGAGGCACTAATCGCTCTAATTGTGTGTACTTCACTCCTGTTCATCGCACAGCCCACGTCTATACTTTCCCAGCGATCATAGTGTTTTAATTTTAATCCCGCCTTTAGCAGAACGTGAAACGCTCCATGAGGGTGGCCCAGTGTCGCTCGGACGCATCCTTTGCAGAGAGTTGTCTTGGGACAGATTATCGCAAGTTACAAATGAAAATCGCAGCCCCGGAGATCCCTCCCCTGAGAGGGGCTGATCTTTCCTGAGACAAAGGAAAGAAAAAAGAGTCTGTGAGGGAGTTTTTCAGGACAGCCCTACTTCTTTGGGCCATCTCCTTGCTCCCCAAAACCACGGCGTGTTCTGCACACAAACTGCCTTCGACAATCTGGTGCCAATAATCACTTTCTGTATAACATCGTTTTTTTAGAAATCACATGAGTCATCTAATGCACGATATCTAAGTTGGAACGTGGTCACGGTAAATATCCCCACGTATCAGAGGCATTTTGATTCAGAGATAATGGTATCTGTTTGCTGGCTCTCAACTAAAATACCTCAGTCCCAACTAGACTGTCTGTTAGTCGAGGCATCTTTTTAAAAGACATGATTTTCATGCTCAGAGGATGGAAAGGGAAATGAAAACCGAGTCCTAAAATAGGTGCATTTAATTCTCCCCAATTTAAATGTAAGTGGCCCTTCTTGAAGGCAATGACGATATTCCCTTTTCTCCCCCCACCAGGAGCGCCTCCATCAATGGCTTGCCTTAATGCTGATGATGGCTGGTGCAGTTTGAGGGAATCTGTAGTTAGTCAGAAAATGCTTCCATAGAATGACCTACCAGATGGGCCCCGTAACAAAGCACAGAGGCATCAAACCACCACAGACATTTGGTGCTTAGAATAATAAAAAGACTATAAAATTAGATTAGTTGAGTCTAATTTGGAATCGGTATATTCCCCATGCACCCTCGCCGCTCGTGGGCAGATAAAGCCTTGAGATTTAGCGCTGTGTCAGAGACTGCCACTTCCAGTAAAAGGAGACCGGGCGCGGGAGAAAGGGAAGAAAGCATTCTGGGAGGTCTCGGAGGGCAGAGCAGTGACCTCCAATGATTTACAGGCCTTTAGCTTAATGAAATTGTTTCAGTGACATGACGGTAAGAGCTCGTAATGGATTGGATGCCCTAATGTAATGAAATTACTCCCTTCTGCCTAAAAAAAAAATGCGCAATTAATATTTACTGAGACCTGACAGCCTTTGGTGCGCTCGTCTGTGTAGTTCTCTCAGACAGTCAGAGAGGAGACGGAGCAGCCTGGCAGACGGGCTGGCTCTGCGGGAGCTCCTGGCTGGGACGAGCAGAGCCTGCGAGGGGTGGAGGGACCGGCGCTCAGCAACCAGGGACGCCGGCCGGCTGCTCCTCGGCGCTGCCCGCACTCAGCCTTCACGCTCTCCCTTGCTTTTCCACAGGCAACTGGACAACAACCACATCAGCTGCATTGAAGATGGAGCCTTCCGAGCGCTGCGCGATTTGGAGATCCTGTGAGTTGATTGTGCGGCCACTGCCTGGTTGCGTGTGCGTGTCCGGGTGAGGAGGAGACAGGGGGAGTGCGTGTGCAGGGGGTTCCGTGCGGGTGCGTTTCTGGGGCTGCTGCTGCAGTGCTATTAACATTGGGTACCGGGAGATCCCTCCGGCTCACCTTGGCCAAAGTGTTCGCAGGCAGCAAAGTGTGATTTCCCACCTCCCGCAAACTGGGGCTCCTGCGAATGAAGTCTCAGCCGAGCCCTTTCTCCCCACTGTTCCCACGGTGTTTGTTGCTGGGCAAAACAGATGGGCCGGAGTAGCCCCCAGCCCCTGCCAGCGCGGTCGGGGGGAGCCTGTCTTGAGTGTGGGCACGCAGGAGGCAGGTTACAGGTCTGGGAGACCAGAGAGGGTAGCACCAGGGGTCAAGGCAATCACCCAAAATCCGAAAGGGATCTGGGCGCAGGACTGGGGGAGGCCAGACAGCAGGTCAAGTCAAGCCATTGCCTTTGCTCCTGGGCTCTCGCCTCAGGTGCAAATCCAAACTTTAAGCAGCGACCTTAAGTGTGGGGGGGAGGGGAGGATGAGAGGAAGTGGACACCTCCCAGAACCCCACTCTGTATACTTTATCTGGAAGCATGGAGCTGCCTTTCTGGGTTCCAGATTTTCAAATGGGTCTGTAAGGAAACCTGACTTATGGGAGGGGAGGGCACTCAGCCAGGAGTCATCTCGGGTCATTCACACTAAAGTTGAATTGTGTGAGAAAACATTCTGATCGCTCTCACCCCAGCTACACTTCCAGTCGTCCCTGGTTTGGGGGAAGCTGGAGAGGAAGGCAGGAAAGCCCAGCAGAACTCGTGTCAGGAGATGCGGGGTCCAGTCCCCACTCAACTCCTAATTAGCTGCATGACCTTGGGCAAGTCCCTTCCGCGCTCAGAGCCTAAGTTTTCTCATTTGGGAAATGAAGGGGTTGGTTGCTCTATCTTGGGGGTCCCTTCTCCTTTCCAAGTTCTATAATTGCTTGGTTCTAAAAATAGTTCTGATGGTACAGTCCCACCCCAGAGAATGCAAAGTGTGGGGTCTGTTGAGCATCCCTGAAAATATGAAGTTACTTAGTCACCAGGTCGCATAGCTCTGACTCCAGGAGAATGAATAAATGTCAGACAAATACATGAGTGAATATTTTTAAATGTCCCTTTGCACATAAAAGGAGGAGTGAAGGGCTCCCTGTCCCTTCCCCTGGCACCTGGCCCTGCAGACAGCAACGGGCGGGAGAGAGCCTCTCCACGTTGTATGCGAGGAAGGTGATTCCAAGAGGAATCACGGGAAAGAGAGGGGAGCTGCTGCTGCCAGTGCTCGGACTGATGAAAGCCGAGCATCCCAGCACCAAAGGGGCAGGCCTTTAGTCACCACACTCTGACCCCGGAACCCGCAACCAACGCATGTGCCCAAATGTAGTCACGATTCTCTCTGCCTGAAAGAAAGCCTCTGTACAAAGGGCTGCTAGGAGCATAGCACCCTATTCTTGGGACGGATGAGGAAATTCCTTGGGAAGAGATCAGGAAATGGAAGTCACCAGCTGCCACGGAGCAGCTGGGCGACCTCTACAAGACGTGGTGGGGTCTCCTCACCAGGAAGGCGGGGGCAGAGGGGGCAGTGTCTGACAATCAGACACACCTGGGTGTGGAAGCCAGGACTCAGTGGGACTTTGGCCAGATTACTGAGCCTCTCTGAGCCTCTTTTCTTCACGTTAAGAAGAGGCGCCTGATCTATTTCATAGGAAGGGCTCCCCAAATAGTGTTTCTTTCAGGCCCCTCACTTTCTCCCGACCATGCCCCATCCCCATCCAGGGGCAGTTGGACTCAGAAACACTAGTATCCAGGCACACCGGGTCTCTCACACTGGAAGCTTACAAGCCTGTGATGAAAAGTTCTCTTTCCCCATCATTGCAGAGCCCGCAGGATCTGATTAGTTTATCTTTGCGATTCCAAACAAAGCCAGATCAATAGCTTTGTTTTAAAGACACGCTCATTTGGCTTCACGTGGCTAAGTACTTAAAATTAATCATCATCAGTGAGTCCACGGGTTTCTAATCTCCAGCAGAGGCACTCAGCTCTGGAACCATCCATCTTAGTGGGGAGCTATTCTGAAACTGGCTGGAGCTGACATCTCCATCTAAAGGACCTCCCCTCCCCACCCCCAGACCTCCCAAATCTCAGCTAGGCATCGACATTTTGTAATACTTCCCTGTAATCACAACTTGGCACCATAAAGAATCTTGACAATGACATAAATAGGAACTAAGGGAGGGCATCGTGCGTTAACTTAGTAAATTCTTCAGAGATGCAGAGAGAGGGGATGGAGTTCGAAGCCCGCTGTCCCGGGGCAGGTCACCTTTCAGCACCTGCAGCTGTAACATCTGCACATTAAGAGACAAGATGCAGTCTTTCAGGTGTGTCTTCTCTCTGACGTTGTGCAGCGTGAAGTACAAAACAAGGAGTGACTCGGGGTGACCTCGTGGAAAGCTCTCAAAATTAACTCAAGGGAAGTCTGTGGACCTCACCTACAGTTGACCTTTGAACAACATGGGCATTAGGGGTGCTGACTCTCCCTCTCCCCTGCCCACAGTCAAAAATCTGCATATAACTTTGGACTCCCCACAAAACTTAAATCGTCTCTCAGTATCTCAGGGGACTGGTTCCAGGGCCCCCCACAGATACCCAAATCCATGAATGCTCAAGTCCCCTGTATAAATGGTGTAGAGCAATGCATACAGTTGGCCCTCCACGTCCACAGACTCCCAACCTCAGATGGGAAACAGCACAGGTATTTAGTGAAGAGAATCCCTGGGTCAGTGGACCTGCCCAGTTCAAACCCGTGTCGTTCAAGGGTCAGCTGCACTAGTGGAAATATTCACGCGGGATCGCCCCGTGACTCGTCCTCCCTGTGAGAGAAATGCCGTAGGACTTCTTTCCATCTAGACCGAGGCGGGTTTCCCCTGTTCCAGGGAATGAGAACTTGGGAGGCGAGTCGACAGGAACCACTCTCTGCAGTGAGGGGAGCGGCAGGGGTACAGGTTGGAAAAGACTCAACTCTGCCCACCTTGTCCGCATTTATGGTGCATGCCCAGTGGGAGATGCCCAGCACCGGGCATGGAGGACAAAGGGAAGGAGTCAGGTAGCCAGGAAAGGGGCTAAAAGGAAAAGCATAGTGTAGGCCAGTGGTCGGCAAACTGCAGCCCTTGAGTGTGGCTCTTCCACAAAATACCACATACGGGCGCACACACAGTGCAATTGAAACTTCGTGGCCACACTCAAGGGGCCAAAGAGCTGCATGTGGCTCGCGACCACTGGTGTAGGCCACAGTTTGCCGACCACTGGTGTAGGCAAAACTTCTCAAGGCCCGAGCCCCCACAGGGGAGGAATCCCAATGCAAGTGATCGTAGCTGACATTCGGGCAGTGCCCCGTCCCCAACACATAACACAACCAATGCTTTAGCCCGTGAGCTCTCTGCATCCTCACAAACCTGCTGGGAAACTGCTGTTATCGCCGCCCGCCTTGTACAGAGGAATAGCCCCTGTCAGGGAAACCAGGGAACCGCACGCCCAGCAGCAGCAGAGCCCGAGTGACCAGCATCCTGCCAGCTGCCCCTCTGAGCTGTGTCGCCAGGGCTCTCCTAGGGTTGGCTCCCCTGAAGCATGGCCGCCATGCGCCATGGGTGGTGTGAGCTGGCCCCGAGAGCCGGGCGAGGCAGGCGACCCAGGACTCAAAATCCTGGTGAGGAGAATGCAGGTGCTTCCCTCAAGCCTGCAGAATTGTCATCTCCTTCCCCCAGTTTAGGGGTCCCTGCAAAGTTGAAGATGAATCAAACTCACCAGGCAAAGAGAATAATCCCACTTTTCACTGACTTACATTCTAGTCCCAGGGACGATGTAGTCTCACTTCTGGATGCCGCCAATTGACGTTGACGCCCAACGGTTTGGGGGCCCCATTCTCCAAACTGCCCCAAAACACAGCCCAACTTCCTGTATGACACTTAAGGTTCTTCATGGAGGGGCCTGTTTCCCGTGAGTCCGACGCCCTTCTATTACCCACATCACTGCCCTTTCATTTCCACCTGTTCTATCCATTTGGTGACTCACATCTTGGCTTTCTCTAAGGCAGTGGTGCTCAACCTTCCTAATGCCGCGACCCTTTAGTACAGTTCCTCAGGTTGTGGTGACCCCCAACCATAAAATTATTTTCCTTGCTGCTTCATAACTGTAATTTTGCTACTGTTATGAATCGTAATGTAAATATCTGATATTCAGGATGAGTATGGACAAATGAAACAAAAATGAGAAGACCTAATGAATAAGATTGTTAATTAATTTTTTTAATAGTATTACGGGAGGAAAGAAAAGATTTTCAGATATTGTCTCCTGACTACATGTAGCAAATCAGATCAGCAGACACGTCCTGAAAGGTTATTACCTACCGGTGAGGGGTCTGCCCGGAGAGATCCCAGGCCCAGCAAACTGCGTGCAGATCCTCAGGTCTGCAGATAACCAGGGGTGCCGTTTGGAAGGGCTTGCTCCCACTTATGTCATTACCAAGGCCTCCACTCCTTCGGGTTACTGCCAGCTCAGGCAGCCCTGCTGTAATCCATGGAAATTCGGTGACATTACTCTAGGCTGGCCCTGGTGTCTGTAAAGAAAAGGGACAGAGAGGCCAAGAGCAAGGCCGGGCGACAGTGAGCCGAGGCCTCCTAGCATTTCGCACCTCGGCTGCCCCACTTCCCTCACCCGCGTCCCGGCTCTGGCCAGGGGATGCCAAGGACAAGTTGGTGGTTGCAAAGAAGCTGGCACCTGGGTCTCCAGGCCCCGGGCCCCATGTTCTTTGCCCACGTGGGAACCTCCTGCAGTCGGGCCCTTTGGGAGAAACCCCTGGTGACACGGAGACCCTGAGTGCAGTTGTCTTTCTAGCCCATCCTTTAGTGGCCTCTCCTATTTTGGAGGTTGAGGGAGGGCAGACTTTGATC